GCAGGAATAAAACTAAGGAAAAATGCTACTGCAGCCTTGGCAGTGTCACCAGGGCCTGTCCGTGGGAAGGGTGATGGCCAAGTCATTTGGGATGCCCCTACAACCCCCCGGCCATGGCAGCACAAGTTCAAAACCTTACATGGGAGAGTGCACGGGAACCACCTTTTGCTTCCTCCTTCCCAAATGTGCCTGTGCAGGCAGCTCCTGCTCCTGCAGACCTGGGGACTGGGAACAGGGAGAACTGCAGGCTGGAAGGAGGGGAGTTTCGGGTCTAAATTCAGACTGGAAGTGAGGTTGGAGCTCTGGGTGCCTGGAAACCTTCTCCAGCACCTCCATCCAGGCACCATGTCCAAAGTCAAGATGATGGGCCCTGCTTGCCTGGGTTTCCTGGCAGGATCTGCAATGGCCATGCTGGGGAGGGAGCTGGGGAGCCCAGGTGACCAGTGGGGAGGCTGCAGTCTGTATGAGCCAAGCTCAGCCCCCAAGGGGAAGCAGGTGACTGGGGCTGACGCTTGCCCTTGGAGAAGGTCCCATTGCTGAGCTGGTTGCTTCAGCAGTGGTGCTTTACCCTCGTGCTCCTGTTGCCACAGCCCGAGTGATGGGGAAGCTGGCGCTGAGTGCCAGCCGTGGCACAAGGGCTCACCTGAGGACAGTCTGGTGTGTGTCTCTCAGGCCCTGCCCTCTCAGAGCCTGGCTTTGCTGCAGTGGTGCTTGTTCCCTGTGCTTAGGTGCTTGCGTGTGGTGACAGGGACATTTTTGGGCACGCCACTCCCCTGGCCATCGGAGCGGGCTGCTCTGGGACGTTGCTGATGAGGTACTCCAATGATTCAAGGAAGGGCAGGACCTGGGCTGTGCCTGCATGGTGTCTCCTAATTAAATACGCCGTTCAAGTCTGGGCAAATTGAGAAACGTTTCCTTTCCTCCAGTGGCTTGGTGGAGCCAAACTGGAATTGGGGTGATGCCACCCTGAGTCAAGCCATGCCCTGCAACGGGGCTCAGCCCCCGTCCCGTGTGACTCAGCACAGCCCCAGCCCGGCCGAGCCAGCAGCAGGGGCTGGGAACCTGCAAAAAGTTAATGAGGGTTCTTCATTTTAGGAGCACTCGGCTTAATGAGGCGTTACTCAGCATCTTCTCCACCCACTCCCCGGGTCGGAGCCGCTGGGCTGGTCTCAGCCTCCTCCAAGTGTCCACAGCAGGGCTTTCAGCTGGGACTTCTTAGGTCACCCCATGCATCCTCCAAGCACCGGGTCAACAGTGTCCCTGAGGCCACTCTGGGCTGACAGGACCCAGGAGAGACACGTGGGACCTGTGCCACCACCACATGGTGGCTGGGCACATGTCAGCCCAGCTCTTAAGCTCTGCCTGAGGGTGGGGAGAGGGACGAAGAGGAGATAGGAAGAACATTTACTGAGAACCAAAATGCCCTCGTGTGCCCTGAAGCAAAACAAAGGGTCTGATTTTGATGTTTTCCTTTAAGTTGTAGCTTGTTGGAAATATATTCAATTTGTCGTTATTGCTCTTTAGATCAACTTTATTTTCATCCTATTACTATTTACTTTTTGCTTTTCTTAAATTTTGGTAATTAAATGACTCTTTCTGGACTGGTTGTCACAGATTAACGTTTCCTTTCTTCTTCATGCCTTACTTTCTTATTTATTTTGCACTCATTTCCTGCCAGTTGAGTTTGGGTTTCACCCTTAGGACTAGCACAGCAATGCTGAGCGTGGTGAAGCACCATTCCAAGGTCCAAGCAGAGCACCAAGGTTTTCTCCAGGACACAATGCCATTGAAATGAAGCCATCCTGCCAAGAAAAGTGTTTTGAACTAGAGCAGGCAGGGAAGACTCTGTAGTTTCTCACCTGAAACATGGGAGACGCTGAATAGAAAAATAAAAGGGGGGACCTTTGCTCTGCAAAGTGCTGGAAAAACCAAATACTTCCTGGGATTTAAATTTATTTGCTCCTCCTTCCCTCTCCCCCAGTTTTTATTTAAAATCTGTAAAACCAGTTTCTCATCCCTCAGATCTGAGCGTGCTGCTGGGGTTGGGTATTAGCATCTCTGTCATACTTGTTTCCTGCCTAAAAACGACGAACCACTTAATTTGTATATTTATAGTTTAAAATAATGGCAAGAGAAGTTACAGGAAAGGAGGCATTTTCCTTGTCTGCATACAAATGTACAGTTTTTCTTTGAAAGGACTTGCCAAGAGTGAAGAGCTCAGTATTAGCTGTATTTCAAAAAGCCAACACCAGTTAGAAAAAATCATTTGTATCTGCAAGTGTCTTTAGGAAGCTTCAGTCACTGCTGGTGAGTGGGCAGTGATGGCAAACTCAGGCATGCACCCCAAGTAAAGATGTTTAGCTGACAGGGATGGATCCATCCCTGGGATGCAAAATGCTTGAAATAATGGATCATGTCTTCCAGCCATTTGCCATCATGTTTTCTCCAAAATAAGTGAAGGAATAACCCATCTTCTGCTTTACATTTGCTTGGAGCGCTGTAGGGATTCCGTTTGAGCTTGTTTAACTTGTTAGATATCAGTGTCCTGACCCTAAACCATGACAATCAGACCTAACAGTGCTCCTGTGCTTCTTTCCCAGGTTGTCCAGGGTCTGGTCATTGGAAAACTCACTCACCACTACACAGAGGAGACCCTGCTCAGGCTCAGCATCTTCGTCTTCGCCAGCGTGGGGCTTGGCATGGTAAGGCTTAGCATGGTATTATCCACAGTGCCTTTTAGTAATGCCACGGCACAAGGTTTGTGAGACCTGGCTGCAAGCTCTGCTTCTTGAAATGCCACCACCAGCTCTGCTGGATGGTCCTGGGGCTGGGAAGCAGCTCTCCTGAGCCCCTGGGGAGACGGAGCCGCGCTCAGCACGGGCACCGCACCGAGTAACGATAAAGAGCCACGTGAGTGATAGTTAAAAAAAACCCTTAATCTCTCACAGAAACTTGCTAAGTCCCTCCTGAGTCACTGGGTTTGCATAGGAATCCTGCCCTCGGTCTTGTCAGTGGCTGCATTTCCTGAACTACCCAGAAAGTAAATGCAGATTGCGGGGGGTAGAGTCGCTGGGGCTCCACGGTGCTGTGAGACAGCAGAGGCTCTGTGCCTGCCTTTCCTTTTGCCTAATTCCCCCAAGCTGAGAGTATCTGGGGAAGGAGGCAGCGAGGCAATAATCTGGTTCCTCTCTTTGGGGCTGAGTGACATTGCCCATAGCTGGTGGTGCCTGCATGGGCGGCAGCTTATGCTGCTCTCAAACAGCAATTGGCAGAGCCAGTTGAGGTAGGCAGGTTGCTGGTCGCCGTGTTTGCTCAGATAAGCCACGTTCAGGGAACCCACAGCTCTGCCCAGGCCGTGGAGGGTGGAGGGAGGGTGCACACCAGTCCCTGTCAGCGAGGTGGACCCAAAGGATGGTCAAGCTACGTCAGCTCTTTGACATTCCCTGCAGGAATCAGCCTCAAGCCTTGCTGCCGGGGCACCAGTGCTCCCGCCGGCGTGGGTGGGATGGGTGCTGTTCCCACAAGCACCCCACAGCCACGGGGAGGTCAGAGCCCAATCCTGGAGGGCGCTGGGGCTCGTGGTTCCCGGGCACACGGATGAAATGAGGCGTGCATCCTCAAGGAGCTATGCACCTTAGCTGATCTGGGGCTAAACGGTGTGTCTGAGATGAGGCTGGGAACAGAGGGTGGATGCAGACTGCGGGTTGGCTCTGCAGGAGGAGCACAGTCCCCTCTCTGGGATTTTGGGGCTCATAAAGACACTGCGAGGTGGTGGGATGCTCAGCAAGGATCCCTCCCAGCTGGGCTGTGTGGTTTTGACTGGCATCCACGTGGCCCCTCATGGAACAACTGCACAGTGCTTTAGCTGAGCGTGCCCAAGGAAGGACTTTGAAGGTCTCACCGTTGTGCTTTGGTCATTGGTGGGACCAATGTGGGTCTGGAGACCTGAGCACCCCGGGTGCAGAGCAGAGTGCTGCTGTTACCAGCTCCCTGTGCCAGAGCCCGGTCCCATGGGGATCAGGCAGAGGAGTAACGTGGAGTAAATGGGTTTTGTACACTGAGATCTCCCCAAGGGGGAAGGCTGGAGGTGGCTGGAGGAAGGAGAGGAAGCCTCGATGGCAGTTTAGGGGCACATGGGGCAGCATGGCTTGCAGCAGCTGATGCCCCAGCACAGGCAGGCTCACATTGGCTGCTTGGCGAGGCGAGCCAGGAAGGAAAATCATCTTAGAGATGATAATTACACCAAGCCTGGAGGGCTGGGGACATCCTGACAGCACGAGCCTGGGGACAAGGGTCACCAGTGACTGCCCATGAGAACTATTCCTAGGCAAAGGCAGCTGTGATCCTCTCCGCCGAGGCCGCCTTGTTAAAGAGCACTCTGTTCTAGCAGCTGCCGAGAAAACATCCGCTTCTGGGGTGGCTTTCCACCTCGGTGGGGATGAGGGCTGTCCCAGCAGCAGGCCCCAAATGCAGAGATTAATGCCTGAAGCTTTTAATCCTGCCCAGCCCCCGGTGGAGGAGCATCCCGCCCGCTGTGCCCGTGCCCCATCTGGCCTCCAAACGGAGCCGATCCCCTCCCCGAAAGGGTGGAAGCGAGGAGGGAAGTTAGCTGTTAAGGAAAGACACTCTGGAACCCATCTGCTTATCACCAGAGGGGGGCTGGAGCGTTTTTGGGAGGCCAGCAGCAGAGGACCGGAGGCAGCGGCGCAGCTGGGAGGGGGCTGCAGGATGCTCCCAGCCATCGGCAGCTGGAGAAGGGAAGGAAGGGGTGGGCTGGGAGCTGGGGCAGAGCCCCTGGAAGAGAGAGGAGGGGAGAGCCGGTGTCTGATGTGCAGATGCAAGCTGGGGGTGTGGGCAGGGGTGTAGGAGGGCTAGCGGGGAAGTTTCTCTCCTTGGGTGGAGGCTGTGCCTCATCCTGCCTCCCTGCCGGCCTTTGCTCTTGGAGCCTGGCTGCTGAAACTCCCCGTTCTGCCTCCCGCACCCGAAAAATGCCTCCAGAACAGCTCGGGTCAAACAGGGCTGCTGCCTCCCCAGCGGCTGAGGAGCAGCAGGCTCCGCCCTGCAGCAGGCTCTGCCTGCCACCCCCCTCCCCGTCCTCCCTGCGTCCCGGGGCCGTTCCCCCCCTTTCCCTGGAGGCACAGACCTGGCTCTGCTCTTTTCTGCCCACTTGCTTCAGCCTGTGAGGGAATTTGGAGAAAACAGGAGGGGGTTGGTGTTAAAGCTGGTTTTTCTTATGAGCTCTGCAACGTTGTCCTGCAATGACATTTGCCCTAGCAAGGAATTATCCTCCCTCTGTCTGTTTATGTACCGAATACCTGTTCCTTTGCCTTTGTTCTCTGTTCCTTAATGAGAATTGCCTAGATCTTAACCAAAACGTAGGCAAAGAGCCCCTCCGAGGGGAGGAACCTGGCTGCGTGTGACTCTAGAGGGGAACTAGGAATAAACCCCAATATTTCCAGGTCGTTAGTGAGCAGTGTCTCTGGGCTTCTCCATCTTCTGTAGCCGAGAGGCAGGGACCAGATCTTAGCAGAGAGAACTCCAGAGAACAAAACTTCTGGCTAAACCTGCAACAGAAATGTTTTCCAGCCACAATAACACACCTTGAGACACGGGCAAGGGCAGGAGACTTGCAAGAAAGGGGGAATTTCCTTTCCATGCCCCAGAGAAATCCATTTATTGGAGCAGCAGGGCTTGTGAAGGAGCCGAGAGCCGCTCTGGCCCCACGGCTTCGGGAGCCTCACCACGTTTGTTTCAGCATTAAACAGCTGGAGGGATGTCTCCGCTAAGAACATGTGCAATAACAAAATCATTACTCTTCCTAATTATGCTCGCTAATGTGCACTTAGGGCCAGGAGACCTATTCCAGATTACTGAATTTGTTGAATTTATTAGCCAGGAAGCAGCAGAACAGGCTCAGAAATCCCAAAGGTACGGCGGTACATAATGCGCCGCCCTCAGTTATTTTGACAAGCTCGCTTTAGTTTTAATTATTTATGGTAATGAACTGAAATGCCTTCTCTAGGCTGTTTTGTGTAAGTAATGGTGGCTTCCTGAAGTACACCACATGCATCTGCTGCTCAGCGTTTCCTGGGGAGTTGGACAAGAGAGAGGAGATGGGGGGAAGGGTGCAGGGACGTCACTGACTCCCAGATGCTAAAAATACCCGCAGCAGTGGCAGAGAAACGTGCTGCCAGATTGTGGGGGATCTTCTGCTCCTGGCTCTGCATGCTTGGAATAACTCACTGACGACAAATGGTGGGCTGTGAAAGACCCTGCGGCGGCGGGAGCCACACCATTATGTACCAGTTGTGGCTCCCATCATTTACCTAAGTCATGGGTTTGACTCGTGCTGCTTTCCTAGGTTGTTTCTTGCCACAAAGCCACTGCCTGTGCTCTCTGATGACCCGTGATCTGTTGTGTCCTGCCCCCCAGGCCCTGATGAGGACCGTGTGGCACTGGTGCATCGTCGCGGTGCCGATGGTGTTTGCCTTCAGCATGCTGGGCACCATCACTGACAGCATCCTCACCAAGGCTGTCCCCTCCTCTGACACAGGTAAGGCTCATCCAAAAAGGCCAGGCTGATCTTTTCCTCACTTTTCAGGCCATCAGGAGCTTCCCAGCTCATACCACTGCTGTTGCTGGAGCACGTGCATGGTGAATGCCCAACTGCCCAGCAGATCTGGCTTGGCACTTGCGTGTGATGGGTGTCAGCAGAGCAGAGGGATTGGTGGTGCTAATACAGGGTGAGCTTCAACAACACTGAGCAAGCATCCTGCAGCCCAGTGCTCCTGGTCCTGTGCCTCCTGCTGGCGTCTGTAGTGATGGGTGCAGTAAGGGAAGGCTCTTCCAAACTCTGCTTGCCACAGAAAGCCAAGATAACTTAAAAAAGAAAGCTGCTTCCCTGCTCTGGTGGTGGCTGCTTGTTCACACCTTTTAACTTGGGGCATCTCAGGAGGGTATTCTGGGTTGCCCTTTGGAAACATGCTTTGCCTAATGCAGTAATTGCCCCAGTCTCTACGTTTTGGACACATTTCAGTCAAAGAGTTACCGTACAAGGCAGCTGAAATGCAGTTGCAGACACATAAGTCTTTGTACCTGGGTTTGTAGTTCTGTCAATGAAGGGAATATGCCTGTGTTATTGTTGTGGGAGTCTTCAGTTTGTCCCAGGATGGAGCTGGGTTAACCTGGTGTGGTGGCTTTTGCTCAAGCTCTTTCAGGGTTTGCTCCCAGAGCTGCATTCACCAGGTACCTGAGAGTCTCTCTGCTTTAGCTGAGCCTTTCTGGGATGCCAGCCTTCACCCTTCAGCTTCCCTAGCAGTCATCTGAGCAGATACCTCTGCACAGACCCTACCAAGAAGTTATAGTCTGCACAGCTCGTTAGTGGAGTTTATAAAGCACTTTTGAGATGCTTCTGGATGAAGAGCTTTTCTAAATGTCACTTCAGTGGTTTATTTGTAGAGCTCACCACCACATCTCCTACAAATGCTGGGAGCCTGTGATTTCCAAGTGCATTATTTCTACCTGGGAGGATCTCCCGTTGCCCAGGGAGATGAGGACTGGGGATGTCTCAGCCCCTCTGCTCATCTGGGAAGAAAATCTGCTGCTTCATGAGTTGGAGCGACGCTCATGTGAAGAGGGAGAGCCAGTGGGGAAGGGCACTAAGCAGCTTTGGGACATACAGCCAAGCTGGAATTCATCCAGACTCTTCTCAAAGGGGCTTTGTGAGGAAAACGGGAGCATTGCTTGGTTCTAAAGCCTGGAGGCAAGCTTTGGTCAGAGAGGAAAAGGGGTTTAGTTGCCTCACCCTGCTCCCCGCTTGCGTATGTTGTGAGGTCAGCCCATACCCAGGAGGGATGGACGGACTCTGCATGGCAGGGCAGGATGGAGGCAGCCCACGGGGCAGTCCAGATGGTCAAGGGAGGGTTGTGGGACATCAGGGGAGCCGTGGGCTGCCCATCCATCCTGGGCTGATGCCATGCCAAGCACTACTACAAACAGCAGAGTGCAGAGGTTGGCTTGAAACTCACCCCGCCGCGGAGGGCTGCTGCCGGCAGGGAGGGGCGCAGCCCTGGGGGACACCTCACCTCGGCCACTCCTTTCAAACCACGCGTTCTCCTTGCTTCGTTTCCGAGGGAAGGGGCCTCGGAGGGCCCTGGGCTCGTCCCGGGGGCAGGGGGGCAGG